AATCACCAATACAGTATTATTATTATAATCTACGTATTACTATAATATTGTTATCTCGAATCTCGGTAACGTGAAAACTTGGTCGATTTGATAGAAATAAAACATCGAGGCGAGTCGAAAAGAGTTTGATAACTGAATATTGTTTTTGTTTTTTTTTTGCGTCGTTTTTTATGTAAATTGTAGATACCACGAGGTTAGCAAGTTGTGCGTATCCGTTTAGAGAAAGTTGTTGCCTACGAAAAAAATATTACTTATCCTCAAAATATATCATAAAGTATAATAAGATGACATACTGATATGACTTTAATATAGGTACAGAGAGACATCTAAATACCGGACCCCTCGGTCTCTAAAATTTTTTCAGCTATTCAGAGGGTTCAGACTGTAGAAAGTTTAGAGTGAGTTCCAAACACCACGTCCGCTATAGGGAGCTGTCCATTAGGGGAGGTTGCTTTGTATAATATTTTTTGTTTTTCGGGTACACGATGATGATACACTACATAAGCCATCTTTTAGAGATTTTGTTATAATTATTTGTGTTTTAATTAACGGTTTACTATAGACTGCATTAATTTAGAGAATTCTCTGTCTTCGAGACTTTTTTTCTCGCATTCGCAAACGGTGGTCCTAAATTTGTTATTATTTTGATTACAAAGACGAAACCATTATTTCAACAGTGTGGGCAGTAGATTTTTTAATTTTAATAAGTGTTCGCTTTTTTATGGCTTTAGTAATTTAGAGAAACATAATTTAAACTAAACAAAACATGTTATTATATACCGTTCATAGAGTATACTCTCTGTTATTTTTAAGCATCCAGAAAACTACAAAATACTATAATTTAATTCTGTATATGATAGGAATTATTTTATATTCGTTTAATGTAATATAATATAGAAACTATCCAGAGAAATTAAAACGCTGGTCTTAGTGCTACGGTTAGCGCAACACTGAAAAATATTTTAATATTAGTGAAAAGTGAAAAAAATCGAGAGCAATAACGTATTTAATTAAACGAAATAACAATATATAATGTGCCTGTATTTTTTGCAGCGCTAAACGGAAAATGTCAGATGATCCGTCTTTGCAGCTCGTGATAAAATATAAATATATATTATTATATTAATAGATTCTACATATAAAACTATTATTCAACAACAGGAAGCCAGAAAAAGCTGTTGTGATTTTTATTTTCTTCCCGGATAAAATAATTACTTTTTCACCCGGGTTATAATAATAATAATAATAATAGTAGTAATAGTAATAATAATAGTAATAATAATAATAATAATAATGGTCACTGCATCAATCTGAAAATATTTAAATTTTCAATGTTTTTAAAGCTATAATAATGGTATGATGAAACGTTATTAGTGAATAATTATTATTACAGTCATCTGTTTTTTTAGACCACACTTCCCCCCGTTGATCACAAATGTAGCGAATTTGTTTGTATTCCGATCAAAGCGATGTTGGATCTATGCAATATACACTAATTTGTCGGTTGTAATTTTGTTGTGTACTTATGAAACTAAATAAATAAAACATTTGTTTTGCGGTTTAGATAGAAATCCCAAAAAAAAAAAAATTTGTTGGCACTACATTAACCACATTGTACATTCGTAATTCATAAATATAAATTGATTTTTAAACGTTAGAATTAAACGTGTATTAATAATATATTATTAATATTATATAATAAAATGTAATCTTATTTTGATAAGTTTATTAAAATTAAGATTTTGTTCAATTCTATTTTAATCTATTTTATTTTATCTAAAAAAGTACATTCAAAATTGGTTTGTATAAATAATAATATGTTAAAAAAAAATATAAATAATAATTTACCACTCCTCTCCCCTCTCCCCGTACACTATTGAATAGTAAACGTGTAATATTGTTTAGGTAATAAGTTAAAATGCGCGTTTCTACATTACAGTAACGTACATACATTTAGGGAAAGATAAGAAATAATCATTAAGTTCAACCACTGTATCAAGAACGTTTTTATATGATATTTTTCACACCGTATTATTTTTAAAATCATATCATTTCATATCTCCAACTAAAACATATAAAAAAGTATGTTTAAATTTTGTATAAAGAAAATAGGAATAAAATTATTTTAACGTTATTATTGTTGTTTTTTTACATAATATAAATTATTTAGATGACTTAATTGATTTTTAAAGAAAAAAAAATATACCTAATTAGTTATCAAAATAATTTAGATTGAGAATTATAATTTTAATAAAAAAAAAAAAACTTAACTTTATCGATTTAACTTAAAGGCTTAAAATATAAGTTATTTCTCTGGGGCGTAAGTCTCAGCTCGATACACTAACGAGAATTTGTATCGTTAAACTTTTTATTGAACCAGAATATTATTCAGATAGTTTTGAATGGTTATATATTATATATTGCAGCGTGATTCTCCAAGTATACTCACCCCACTTGTATTCTTTAATAATGAATTTATTCAAATTCTGTTTTTGGAATTATTTTTAAGTGCCTACATATAGGTACCTAAAGATCATATTTTTAAATATTTACATTTTTGGTTTACCATTTAAGAGGTCTCCATCCAGTTTAAAGGGTTTTTATCCGGTGAGCGATACATGCTTTATTTTTTGATTTTTTGTCAAATAAAAGCGACCGTTTTTACTGAAATTCGTTTATTAGGCAGGGTTTTTGAAAAAAGTGGACGCGTTTGAATCGAATTTCAAACGAGTAATCTCTAGGATTATTACACTATACGTTCAAATTATGAAGAAATAACTTCCGTAACAAATCGTAGCCATTTTTAACAAATTGTTAGATAAATAACACACGGTGGTTTTCATTTAAAAAAAATAGGTTTATATCACCGCACGCGCGGAACACTCCAAATTAAATTGCATAAAAATATTTCTCAATTAAATGAATTGCTTCTTATGCAGCGTTTAATTGGAACTTTAAAGTCCCAAAAATCAATTAATTGATTATTAAAGCAACGCTTGGAGGGGACGAGCACGCTCGTCGAATCACTCTGTATATATTATGATATACATACACACACACACACACACACACACACACACACACACACACACACACACACACACACACATATTATTATGTATATCGACAAAACGTATAATGAATTTATTTTATATCGCGAGTCGCTTTTAAAGCACGTGCAATTAATAACGTTTTTGTACACACACACACACGCAAACCGCTAACACACACATGGGTACATAACATATTTTACGCACACAGTGACGCGGTTCATTAAATCGAACTTGTGTGGGCTTCAAACGTTTTGTACTCTCTGTAGGTATATTAAGCCATAACCGTGGTAGTCTGACGAACAATAAATAATAATGTAAGCGCAGGCATACGGTGTGTTAATATCACGAGCATGTGTCGTGGGCATATAATATTATTATTGTGCGTATGATTATAATAATAATAATATAATATACGGTTATCACAAGCCATAGTAGGTACTCCAGCCATTATTGAGACGTGTACGCGTTTATACCTTAACAATAACTGTTATACGCCTCAGATCTAAATAAGAATGTATTAAACGACTAAAAAAAGATCGAATTCTAAAAATATGGGTTTACAATATTATATAATGTACGATAATATTAAAGTTTGTGCTCGTAGGTATATGCATTAAACATATTATTAGGTTTAATAAAACATAGGTCGTCTGCGCTCATCCAATTCCCCCCTTCGTGGTAATTATTAGTCTTGCAGATGGTTCAAATGTTGAGATGTGAATAGATTTATTTCAAATTTTCAACGCGGTCGAGGGTGACGCGTGAGCTTTCAAATATTCATTTTTTACTCCAAGGATTAATTTGTTGTCCATTTTGGAAAATGTACTTATTATAGCTTCTCCGTTACACTATTGACAGCGTGTGCATGGCACGTCCAACATATCATCTATAATGATATATATTCATAAGCAACCGTAGATTTTACTCTACTGTATCAATTAATATATTGATACAAACACATACGAAAATGTATTGATTTGTTTTGAAATTATTGTGGTAAATAGCATGTAACGTTTATGCATAATAAAGTATTTATGACGAAATATTATGAAAAATGAAACTAAACTCGTTTTGTTGGAAATCGTTTAAAATGGATTTTATACTTGTTGGTAGTACAAGTTGGTTAGTTGTACTTTATATACAACACGTCGTGCGTTTAAATAAAATAAATATTATATAATTCCAAGCCTTCAATTAATAACACGTGGTGCACTACGTATAATATAAGGGTTCTGAATTTAATCTCTTCATACATTGATATGCTTAGTTGATTAGTATTGATTAAATAGTGATTAAAAGTTATGGGCTATGGCAAAAATTGATAATTACTGGTTTATGAAACATTTATCATTCCTCATTGACGTAGTTCAGAGATTGTCTTGTTGACGATTGTATAACATCCTCAGTTTTCACTTATCAATTGAGTCTCATTACTGGCTTGTAATACATTTTTTGGAGCCAAATTATGGTGTCAATGTTTGTGATTTGATTAAATGCATTCACTAGGCAGATACATACCTACCTAGAAAAAAACATCAAACATTTTTATTCTAGAAAGCAATGTTTTAGGACGTTATGAGTTTGTGACTTGTTAATTAATTATGTTTAAACAATTGGGTATATTTTATGTATAAATTAACACAATGTAATAATATAGTCTATTAATTTATGTTAAACGTTAATCATTCGTTTATTAAATTAACATTTTTTTTTTTTAATCTCCACTTGCTGTATATGTTTACGATAGGTATAATAACTAGGTATTAAAACATTTTTTTTTATTCATTTTCACATATCAGCTGAAGTACTCCTAAAAACTAATTTTGAGACACTTTGAAATCAAAATAATGGTTCTTACAATAATTTCCGAAAATATATAATTTAGGAGGCTCGCTCGCCGGATTAATATTGCAGTTTTTAATAGTCTCGTTTTATTGTATTTTGCAGATATATTGTTCAATTTCCGGACGACATTCGTCAACAAAAAAGGTGAAGTGGTGTCGGATTCCAAAACGATCGCCTTCAATTACTTGAAGAGCTGGTTCGTGGTAGATTTATTCGCCGCCCTGCCGTTCGACCTGTTGTACGCATCGGACGTTTACAGCGGAGACGTGAGTATATATATCTACGGAAGTGGTGTGTGCGTGTTTCGTAATAGTTGTTGTTGTTGTTGTTGTTGTTGCTGTCGTAATGGTGGAAGAATATAGTGTAGGGCAGTGGTGGGTATGGAACTGTGCGAGTATAATACTTCACGCCTAAAGTACGTAGAAAAATTTACGATCTTCGCAAGACTCTCGGCCGCCGTCGTCCGTCCTACACACACCCACCACCGCTTCGCATGCCCAACACATTTTGTTCACCCTAAATATATCTGAGAGCGGTTCACAGTCAATTTACCTCCAAACATGTGAGAAATTTAACCGCGCAACAGCCGAGAGACGGTATGAAGGCTTTGGCGACGCCGACGGTTGCTGGAGCGAAAAACTTTATGCTCCGGCCGCCGTCGAGTTGGAAATAAAAAGTTTTTTTCTCTTCCCCGGATCTCGTAGTAGTAATAGTAATAATAATATAGGGTCCCGCCTTAATGACATGCCCATTCGTTCAAATAATATAACCTCCGCCGCGGTGGCGGGCAGACGGTGACGAAAATATTATTTATTTCAAAAAGTCAACTCTCGTGGATAATACTTGTATAAGATCTACGTGCTGCTGCGTTGCGTGAACAAATGACAACGAAATGAGAGAGAAAAATGTATTACATAATATAAATGTATTTTTTCCGAGTGCAAAAATCACTATTTTTAATTCTCTCCATAGTAAAACTGTAAAAGCTAGAACTTATGTTGACTGAACTAAAGGCAAAACTGAATTAATTGAAATTGAGTTTCTCGTAGATGAAATATCATTAAATTGTTTTATTCAGCTTAGTTCTATTATACCTAACACATGTTATCGATTTAGATGAATAGTTACATAATATATACATAATATATTATACTATGTAGGTATACATAATTATATTATATAGTACATTATGTAGCTCGATTGCGTTCACACCTGTATTATACTACCCGATATACAATGACACAACTTTGAAATCAATATAAACTTTAATTCTAACCACAAAACTTATGTTTAAGAGACATTTTTCCAAAAAGTGTTCTTAATAGAGGTCTCTATTTCACGTGTATTTAAAACGGTGTTAAAGCCCGGGGGAGCCCAAAAGTTCGTGCCTACATTAGCCCCCCCCCCATGTTATCATACAAATATTTAAGTTAGACATTCATAAAAATATACCATTTTTTTTACGAACCTGAAAATTGTTATACATATATATTTAAAAAAAAAAATTAAAAACATAAATGGGATTATCTTACATATTATTATCTATACATTTCGTATATAATATTGTATTTAACATTTTATACTTAATAGTTTAATACAAACATATTATTATAACATACGAGTATAATACGACAAAACAATTACAATATTCTTTTTAATTATAACAAAATATGAACAGTGAAAATTTTCTTTAAATGTAAATTACAAAACAATAACAAAAATAATTTTTTAAACTATAAATAACTTCTTATGCATCACTTTTAAAAGAAATAGTTAATAAGTTTAAGCTATACCTATAATACACAAGAATTCATATTACAGCAACTGATTAATTTTGTATTATATGACCAATATTGAATATTTTGTAGTTTGTACCTATATGCAACCTTTTTAAAGTAAATATATTTGCATATTGTATATGTTGATATAACATCAATTAGTTTAATTAAATTTGGTGCCTACTACTGAACTTAACCTAACATTCTACAGAAATTTAATAATAATAATATTAAATAATATATAAATAAATAAATGAATAAATAATATACAGACGACGTATTAAACGTATTCAAGATTTATAAGAAAGAACACAATTATAAGCTTTTGTAAATATACATTACAGATTTCCAAAAAATAGATTGTCTACCCAAATTTATTCATATTATTACGTAAAACTTCAAGTCTCCACGAATAACATTTTTTTATTACAAACATGATAAATAAAAAAAATGTAGTCTTTATTTCTTTTCCAATTTCGAAAACATATCTTGTATTTCAAAAGCTCATAAAAATAATATTTTTAGAATTACGATAAACTTTTTTTAAATTTCAGTATTAACAACTTATGATTTTAAGAAGAGATATTTATTAAATCTTCAAGGTTTATGACAGAGCATACATTTTTTATCAACATGTGGGTATAATTCAAACCAATTTAGGAAATTTCAAATTGCTATAAATCATTTAAGAAGAATCAAAATATTAAAAGAACTTATACCAAATAATATAGGTAGCAAGTTGCAATTCGTATAAGTAAATCTGATGAACTTTTCAAACGATTATTCGTTTTTTAATTACAACAGAATAACAAAGTCAATTGTTTAAAAAAAATTATGTAATAATTATGTATTTATGTGTAATAAAATCCATTCCACTTTGCTGCCGTAAAAGATATTGAACTTACAGATTGAAGCATTTTTACTGATTCAACAGGCAATGGAACATACATCATTGTAAAATTAATACATTATGTACAGAATCTAAAAAAGTAACTGTTAAGTGTTTAACTTTTAGTAAAAATAACTCCAATTCTATCAAAACAAAACAGTCTCATTGATTGGTATAAACCATGTAGAGTATACACTGTAAACTAACTTGAAAGATCAATCAAGAAAAAAAAATGAAATTGGAAATTAAAAATTATTTCGCTCTGTAATGCTGTGGAATTATTATTTGAGTAAAATAGATAATGAATACAATCAATATTGAATATATCATTTTATAATATACAATAACTTATCTTCTTTGTTAATTATCTGTTGAAGAATAAAAATAGGTAGCTGTAATATATCGGTATAGCTGCTCTTTCGGTAAAGTACCTAGTTAATTGAAATGGGATTCGAATGAAATTATTTTGTATAGAAATAAAGTACAGGCCGTGGTGACTTTATTTAAAATACTCAACGTTTTAAAAATTTTCAGTTTTTAAATTTTTTTTAGTAAATACTAATCTATTTAATAATATATTATTATTTTAGACAGGTTGATTCGCTCAGCAAGCTCGCGCCTTTAACACTTATTTAGATAACTTCTTAATTATTTTAATTTTCGTTTTTAATAATTTGTTCCGTTACTATACGAATAGAATATACGTATTATGTTTTCATTCCTAAACATCACATATCTGGAACTTACAAGAGCTCAGTAGTAGGAACTAGAAACGTATATATTATTTCTGTTGACATTTCGATTTATAACATCTAATATTGGACATCATATAATTTTCAATCTAGTAGGTATTCATAGCTTACTTCAGTACAAATTTGAAATTATTGTTGTTCATTTCATCATTTGACCTTCTAAACTCGGTCAAATTTCGTTTATGTACCTACGTTTATACACATATAATTTGTCTGCAAACGTTTTTAATGAAATTTGTTCTTTCTCTGATGTTTGGTGATGTGGCCTATTGTCATGGTTTGTGTGCATAGATGAATGCGGGCATCAGGGAACTTAATTGACTTTCAGTTCTATAAATTAAGTTTAGTATCGACAAACAAACGTTTACGAGAAAGGATTCACAGTGGATTATTTTTCTTAATACAGAAAATGTTATTACAGCTTATCTTATTGAATCAATCGAGCTGCCTTGACAGAATCCATTGTATTTTGTCGAAACTACTAGTAGGACTTAATATCATAATCTAATAAAGTATATTATTTGAACTTATATTATATGATATATAGCAAATTGATGGAAAGTTATAATACATTAATACTTGAGAAAAGTATGAAACTCGTGGTCGTAATCCTAAAAATATACTCCAAATTTGGTTAGGTTATAGAAACAATATTTATTACTTATAACTAGAGCTAGGGACTTCATGCTCTTAAAAACCTTAAAATATGCATGCATTTACGCCCTAAAGAATCAATAAATATGCTATTAAAATATGCACGAAAAAAAATTATATTCTTTTACAAAATCATTAAGCTAGGCATTTTTTAATTATTTTATTATGGGCTCACTCGAAAGAATAAACACTTCACGAAACCAAAATACGAAGATCGCGCAACACCAACTGTCAACTATTACTATTCAAGTAACCATCTGGCCTCTATCTACAACTAGTCATAGTCTATAAAATGTTTTTTCGGTATCATTATCGGCTTTAAAAATAGGCAAGAAAAACGAAAACATTAATTTTTAAATATTTAATCCGGTCCAGGAAATCTATTTAAAATAAAAAATTTTTTATAAAACTAAAAACTTACTCCTCGTATTAAAAATATTGTCAAATATGCACTAATAAAATAAAAAATGGTCAAATATGCACTTATAAATGAAATATGGTCAAATATGCAAAATATGCAACTATACATTTTAAATATAAACTTGTAATGCTATGAAACCAATTTCTATTTACTTACCTATGTTTTTAATGATTATTTAAAAACATGCAAACTCCTAGAAGTCCCGAGCCCTACTTATAATGATTAAAATATACAACAACAACAAGAAAAAGCCTCGATGACGTTACCATTGGCTTGTTTTAACAATAATATTCTTATCAAATATTCAAATATGACTTTTAGTCAATTTATTTTATGTACAATTTTATTTTCATCACTTTGATACTTATAATCTATTTTAATAAAAAATAATTTTATCCAATAGCATTTTATTGGAAAGATTTTTAATAAATCGGGACAATTACACGTATCTACTTTTTTTTTTATCAAATTGAATAATATTATAATTAAAAAACACACTGCATAGTTATTTATTTTTTGGAGTATAGCTTTAAAAAATGTTAAGCTCTTAATATGGTGTAAATAAAACTATTTTTCACTATACTGCATGACGCATGACATGCTATCAAAACTGCGACGGAATGTGTTATTTATGTATCACAGGCTAGTGAATCGAAAAAAGTGTTGGGAAAAATGAAAGCTTTAATCTATCAGTGGAAGAGTAATATAATTTCATGAAAATAGATTGGTATGGAAAACAATTTTAAACTACTTTAACCCAAACGTTTTACAATAGGTATTTACTATCCATATTTTATTGGTTCATCGCTTTTAATATTTTATTGAAAAATGAAACAAAAATACATAATGTAGACATAAAAATAGATACATTATATATTTTACTTATATTTAACAACATCATATGTAATATATTTCTTAATATTAAGTTTGACGCCATCATACTTAGATGCCCACTTAAAACCATATTAAAACTGTAGATTGTTACCTTTGTTTAATTAATTTCGTAGTGATATCTTTTTTTATTTTTTTAAACCGTTTTCAATAACCATGCATACCTTAGAAACACAAGCGCATGCCGTGTAAGTAGGCATTTACTTTAATTATGTTTAAATATTTTGGTTTTGTACACTTTAAATACATTAAACACAAAAAATAATGTTATCCGATAATGAGTTTTAACTCAGTGTGCTCATCGGTTCTTTTGTTAGTTATCACTAATCAGTGCAAAGTTACAGTTATTTGTATTAAGATTTTTTAAACGTGATAGCTCCATCTACTTTCTCATTCTAGCTAATATTAAAGAGTGTCAATTTATTAGTATTTGACACTGATTCATAGAAGCCAATATCAAAAAATAGGTACTCACCAAAATATCAAATACTTACCAATATTGCTCCGTATAGGTGCTTTATGATATTATGAGTATTTCTTTTTCTTGTTGTGATACAAATTCAGACGTTTATTGTATTACAACGTACACTTTATTTTTCTGATAACTATATAGTATTTTAATACAATGACTTATTTAAACGAATGTAGTTACGAAATGTCGTGTAAATTATGGATTGCCTTCATTACACATGGATATAATATTATTATTATACAAAAGTATCTAATGGTGTCCACCAGGCTGAAGACGGAGGTACACACTTACCTACCTACTAATTTGAAGTAATAGGATAATGTAGATTCCATTATCGTACCACTTAAAATTATTAGTTTATCTTCTTCGCAGAGAACCCTACCAGTGAACAAAATGTCGTTGCGCTTTGACTGTATGTTTTAATTAGTTAACAATTTTATCAACGTCTGTCTCCATTTTTCTTTTCCAGGAAGCCGGTTCGGGACAAGTTCATTTGTTAAAGCTGACCAGACTGCTGAGGTTAGCGAGACTGTTGCAGAAGATCGACAGGTATTCGCAGTACGGCGGCATGATTCTCACACTTTTGATGCTCCTATTCACATTAGTTGCACATTGGTTTGCGTGCATATGGTATGTGATAGCCGAAAGCGAACGCCATGAAAAAGGAAGAGATTGGGATCTAGGTAAAAAAAATAAACTATCGTACGTCTAACTTTAAATCTAGAACGATCTTAGTAATTTTAAAACCCCCTCTATAAGTTAATTAAATCATTAAAATTAGAAGAAAAATCATTTTTCAATTAGTTCAAATACCTATTATATTGGTTTTATTGGTATACAATAATATTATATTTATTTTTGATAACTATAAACACTACTATTTTTATTGTATTTATTATTTAAGTTTTTCTGAGGTTTATTATTCACAAAAAGAAAAAAAAAGTTAGTTAGTTTATTTATTAATTATTAACCGTTACAACGTAAATATACTATTCGCAATAATTCAAAACGTCTTATGACGGTAACTTTTTAAAATATATGTTTTAATAACGACTTAAGATTACAAAAAAGCCTACTTAAAAGTTAAAAACATTTTTTGAGTTTTATATACATACAACTACAACACTTAGGTATAATAATATATGTTTGGAGCAATCGTTTACAAAATAAATATTTTTAGTGTCAAATTTCATTGATTGGAAATGAGTTTTTATTTTAAAGTTTTATGAAATAAATAGGTACCAAAGTAATTTAAATGATTGATGGAGGGGTTTTTTTTTAATCTCAAACAACTCTGAATTTAATCTTGAAACTTGGTAATATCGATAAAAACTATTTGTGAGTACAATTTTTTAAAAGTGTAATACGTATAATAATATTGTATTGTAGTAGGATACTACAGTTTCATAAAGGTCCAATTTACTTTTTATATGCATATTATATTGTATAAGCATAATTTACAGCGTTTGTTTATGATTTGTATACAATACGTGTATTGCATCTATTCATTTCGTCGAAATATGGTATATTTATATTTCACATCGGGAATTAGGTTCTTGAAAATTTTGAATGGGAATTTAAAAAAAAATGTTTTATATACAACTAAAAACAGGTAGAAAATTATGCGTTTTACTTCCAGCAAGATTTGAATGAAAACAAATTATATTTATACAATACTTTCAAGAATATTTACATTTCGAAAGCAAAAAAAAAAACTTATTCAATACTAAATAGTAATGCATTTAGTGCTGATTCATTTAAACTGAGTTCATAATATAGCAATACATTGCAAGATACATAAGTATTATGGCAAATTGGTTATCATTCAAAAAATAAATAAATAAAATTAACTCCAAAATTACTTTAGTTTAACGACGACTCACGCAAGTAACTTTTTAAATTGGTCTTAGATTATTTGTATTCTCATTGACCTTAATATTTTTTATAATAATTTAATAAAAAATATTGATGAAAATATATTTTTAAGAGTCATAAATTGAAAAAGCGTATCAAGTTATTTTAAGAACTTTATGTATTTAAGGAAACTAAGTCTAATTATTTACTCTCTTTCAACTAGGTATCAATGACTTACGGTTTTCTATATTCCTCTTTTTCTGGTTAGGTTATGGTTAGGTCTGGTTCGAACGACTGAAATTTGCAGTCGTCGATGAGTGCCTAAGATCTGGAGTTTTTTACTTTTTAGGTCCTAGGGGAGAGTAACACTAGTTGTTTTGAAACGGAAACTAGGTCTAAACGACGAACTTGTCTAACCTGCATACGCAGGTACAGTTTCATAACTAATCATAGCGGAGACATCTCACAAAAACAAGACCTATGGGCTATGGATCAGTAGAGAACACTCACGGTGTGAAAAAACATACTTAGAAATAAGAATACATTTAGATCATCAATCATAGCATGAAAAAAAACGATCAACGGCTAGGTTAGGTTGTGACTAAGGCAATAATAGATAATATAAGGCATCGTTCTTTAAGTGTTATGTGTAAATATTATGGTGAGGTAATCTATGCAGATATCAGATTTCTATATTCAATTAATTGTTTAAGACTATAAATAACCATCAGGCCATCAGCCATACCATTAATAAAATAAATAAACAAATAAATGTATTCATTTTTCAAAAATTAGCAGGATTCACACATGTCACTATGATAGTACCTACCTATGTTAAAACCATGTGAATAATGTTTATAAATTATAATATTTGTGAAGAATTTTTACTCTCTAAAACTCAACTACTTTAGAAGTAATTACCTATTTTTAGTGAAAACTATACGTCTACATCAATACATTACAAACTAGTCGATTGGTGATGTCTAATAAAATATTAAATAGGTAGGTACCCTTTGTTTTTTAAATCTTGAAATATAATTTTTCAATAACATTAAGTAACTACACTTTTTCAATGACCAAAAGTATTCAGAGAAAGGACTTTTAGACAAACTTGAAGATTGTATATAGTGTTTAATTTTTCTAAAAGGTATTTCAACTCTAAAATCACTTTACAAAGTTATTTATGATCGATTTACTTTAATGCGTGTTTGTCGTGTAGCATGTGTAAAATATACACATAACAAACATTAGTAATACATACTAATATACTATACATGGTTTTTCTAAAATAAAAAAAACTGAATAAGATAAAATGCTTCAAAAAAGAGTTGTTCAGTTTTTTTTACTCAAATTTGAAAAACAAAAGGTATTTATAAGAGGGTGCAAACGGAATATTGAAGAAAAATTAAAACCTTCAATGTAGTAAATATACAAACAGAAATGTTTGTTAACTTTTAACTGTGAAAATCAATTATTTAGTTATTGGTCATTAGTAAAACTAACCCTGGTCAAATTCATATGCCATTATATTTTATAGTATTCAACTTGTAAGTCAACTTCGATGTGCAAAAAAATAAGTATATAAATATTTGAAAGAAACAAAGTAAAATTAATATTTCACATTGTGTGTAAAGTGACGGTTGTATTGTGGCTTAATATTAACTAATGTTGTTTATAACTGTTCAATATCGATGAGGTGATTACATTTAACACAGCATTCAAAATACGGATATTTTAAATACAAAATATACATAAGCAAATACCTAATATACTAAGCCTTGTAAACGAATATTATAAACTCTATTCCTTTTTTTCATTGTCTCATTGTTGGGAAAATAATTTTTTTCTAAAATATACCGCTAGTTTCTAGTCTATTTTTATAGCTGGTACCTTCCTATATAATAACTTATTCCAACATTTGAAACTGTATATACTCACATGCTATTAGTCATAACTCATAAGTCATAACTTTATAACTATAGTTGTTTATAAGTTAAAGTTGATAGTACACAAATATATAGTGTCTACCGAATTTAACGGGATAATCTAATATTCATCTATTTTTACATAGGTACCTCATGACGAACTTATATTTTAGCATATATACCTACATAGCAATTTATATGGAACCAAATATAATATATAGCATAATATCGATAAGGGCAATGCGATTGTTTCACAACTGATATTATAATGTGTTATACAATGCGTATACAATTAGAAACATAATAATAATATATGTGCATCCTTTGCATATATATATATATATATATGTGTGTGTAGGTGGTTGTACGTAGGTACTTTGATTTACACAAATAAATATAATTTATGATAGTGACGATAATATTCACATTGTATACAGGAAATAAACGAACGATGACATTCTTCATTGGTGATTGTATTTATCGCTTCAATTTGACTATATTCACTGTCCCAGGATATTGTAATAAATTATCATGTTCATATTGTTGTCGTCTCTTTTTATTGTATAATAGGTAATATTACATTGTCGGAACGAATGCCGACATGTTTTAAAACTTGAGTTCGACTATATTTGTTAAAATACGTGCATTGTGGTGTTTCGAATTACTCCATCGTTTTTGCTATTATTTCTTTCTAAGCTTTACAATAGTTATATTTATCTCTGAAAGTGTATATAATGTAATCGACGTGAGATCGCGAACAAACGTATTCAACCATACCTAATAATAAAAGACGTATAATAGTACAATAAGGCGAATACTGCACATCTGCTGCAGTTATTAGGTTATTTATTATTTACTTTTTAATAATATTTATGTCTAAGAAGGCAAAAAGTATTCGTATGGAAGAAAAAAAAAACATTTTAAAATAATTGTTGAGCAGTGAAGTTCAAAACGGTAAAAATAAATTCTGTAACTAAATATGCTATTAGGTACCTACATATTGTAATATTGAAACGCAGATGAAAAAAATATTTTGTTATCGAACAAAAACTTTTCATATCCCAACGGGTGCCTGCGAGTATTGAGGAGATTTAAGACTTTTGAACTCAAAGTTATGGATAGACGGTGAACCGCATTATTATTAGGTATATTACATTGTTATTATTGTTATGATACAATACAATATCGTAAGTGGTTCAACAAATTTTTAACGATTTCCGCAGTCGTACACGATTAATTAATTAGTTGATTAACACTGGTAACCGGCGGTTGGGGGTGGGGAAGGTGAGGATCAGTGCCGAAGCCCGGACAAAAATTACAATGCGGCCGGAAAGAGAGAGAGAAAAAAAACAAAGTCAATTTGCCTAGCGATTAAATTAATTCGCGTTCAACGTTATTATACGATCGTCCCGAAATTAAACCGACGTCATCATTAAGCCGTTTTGCAAATTCTCGACACGGCGAAATGGCATTACACCGGCGACCGGATTTATGCGCGTCGCCTGTTGATCGTTAAGTACGACGCGCGGACGGGAGTCACGCGTAATGAATATCAAAACGGCAGTCACATGTCGTTTTTACGTACGACAATACGTGCTCGACCGAGTGTACGGATAACATGCAACGATAATAATTATAATAATAATAATAATAATCAGGGTTACTGGTATGAAATTTTTCCTCTTGCGATTTTCACTCGGAAACATTTCAGACTCGAAACTTTCGCACTTCGAGAAATATTTCATGATTTTGTGAGTGTTTTCGGTATGTTTCGCGAAATCGTGGCTAGATGGCCAGATCGATTTACATACTCGATAAGTGATTATCAGCGAAGAGAAGATATACACAAAATAGACGATTATTATGTAGTTTATGCACCTAATGTACGATGTAAGCAATATTTCTGTAACATTTGACTAAGTAGAAATGCTTAATCCAC